CCCGACCTGGAACATTTGCACACGAAGATATTGAAATTCTTAACCAACAAAATTTTTAGCTTAATTCCCGTTGTCAGTAATGTGAGTAAAGCTTAAACATTAGTTGTCTATTTTAGCGCTAACTATTTCTGCCCCTTGGATTTAATCACCATAGATGATTTATTCTTTTGGCTTGGGCTAATGAAGCTTCACAGTCCGTCTACTGAATAGGTTTGCAAAGGAAGTACCCTCCAGCAAACCCCACGATAGACTCAGTACTAGGTGGAATATTGACTTCTGGAAGTATATCCCAAGCTAAATCTAAACACATGTGAAATCTTACTACCTAGGCTTTCCTGTGCATGGTGTCTCGTAAAAACGTTTATATGGCCTAATTTATCAACATCTCCTCTGCTAGTCATAGTGTCCTATACCATGGAACAAGCTAACTGTCTAACACAGGAATGAGAAGACTCTAGGATTTGTACTGACCCGGTCGCCCCAGACTATAGGGTCAAATTGCATGATTGCTCCTCTGTTTTGCTTAGAGTTTATGGGAATAAAGGAGAGCCACCGGAAAGCAAAAATGACAAAGAATTAGGACTCACCTAAAGTGGGAGAAAGGTGTGGAAGTACTCGGTAGTTTTGCGTTGCTTTTATTCGGTCATCGTTATTACTAGGCCAAAGCGTCGTAGCTAGCTCGTTGCGGCTCTTTGCTGTGAACCCCACCAACTCAATGTGGGAATCTCTGCCTATGCTGCGGAGTGTGACCGTCAAAACTTGAGGACTAACTCCATGTCTAAACTGGACGGCCATTCATCCTTCGACTCTTGCTAGTAACAAATTGCGTGAAAGGTGTCATTCACCACTTTTTGTAGACCTTTGTGTAATCATCTTCGTTAGTCCCTATTGTTTGATCACGATGCCCACCATTCTAAAGAGATGATAATCTAATCGGATTTTGTGCGGCATTTTCGAAGTCGATATCCAGAATTTGTTAGCTTTTCACAGTAACCAAGAATAGATTTTGAGGAAGGGTAAACAAGATCTGCTGGAATTTGGTGTCGTTGAGTGTTAACGTAAAATTGATTTTGGTTCATCCAAGCAATTCTTAGATACCACATCCATTGTGAAGGAGAAGGCTCGTTGTAGTTTCCATCAGTGCAGAAATTTCGCTGTTTCTCCTATGTACCTTTGGCTTCAAACTCTTTAATTGAGAGGACTAGCTCATTGAAAATGCAATGTATTGTCAAAGACTGGATTATCGAGGTGGTTAAGTTGTAAGAGAAATCAAGATTATATCCTCTTTAGACATTGACGGTGTTCTTTCAGCCACGAGGTTTTGAAATCAACCACTAGTTTCCAAAAAGGCGTGTTCAGAAAAACTCGCATTACATGCAGATGGCATGCAAAAACCGAATCTATCTGCTGTCTAATCCATCTTTGAAAACAAATCCGATGGACAAATTTAGGTGGAAAATGGGTTTTAATTTTGGACGGGTATCCACTTTCCTGAAAGGCAGTTTAACAATATAATATGGCTAAAATGGGTGCTTAGCAAATGAGGAAATCGCCTATAGGTAATAGCATTCTAAAAAAGCACCTAATTTTAAACCTATTTATTATAGTGTTACAATCATAGCAAATAATTATTTGTACACTTCTTATGAACTCAAATCAATTGACTTTACTTGTAACTATTTAAGTAGGCCTTCTGCTTCAAATAAGCATGGACCTTAAACTCCCTGGAAGGTTGTACTTATCACTTATCTGATTCTAGTTTTCTATTCTATTAACTTTCATGACTCAATTTTACATAGGTTTCTAATAACAGGACTTATTTACGCATGTTACCTCTATGGCGATTGGAAAAAGGAAGTACAGTGACAAATAAAATTTGTATACTTAAATACTTTTATTCTACCGTGTTAATAACAAATCAAATTTAATTTTTACACTTCAATTTATTTATATCAAAATAAACTAATATTGCAGTAGCCGATGCTTTTATCGAAAAGGTTGCCTAATGACTCAAATAGCGTTTTTGCTTAGCACATTTGTGCATAATTACAAGTTGAAGTAAGTGGAACTTAATAGATTCGGGTTTTCTTCTTTCAGATCTCTACTTCAGGTTCGCAGATTAAAATGACAAAGAAGAGGAGAACATCTTATGGATGAGTAGTATGGGAATGGTGCATAGATTATCAAAGCTTATGGAGAATCGGAACTCGTTTCCGCCTTGAGGTTTGGTGACGGCCACTCAGCCACGAGGTTAATGTAAGCCGACAGCCTCTCAACTGATAGGTAGAGTCAAGCCAACACGTATTGCAGAAGCACATAACGTGTAAATGCGGATATGGTGATGAAACATACCTTGGGATATGAATTGCAGCTACTTATGGTAAAAGGGCAATACAATATTTACTAGGTAAAATTTGAAGATATTTTATATCAGTTTCCATTCTGTAATTATTCCGCCACTACTATTAACAGTTTTTTTCTAATCTAAGGGAACACATTTCTAAAACTAGGCCATCTATTTACACCCACATGTTAAAAAGGTGGAACTGTCTTAGTTATCTTGCAAATTTAGGGAACTTAATATCCACCAGAGTGAATAGTGCTTAACGGTTCATGTTAAGAATGGGGGAAGGGGACCAAGTAAACGCTGCAAAATGCAAACCTAATGCAACAAAATGGCTCGTTTTTGCTCACAACACGCAATCAAACTAACCTGGGAAAAGGGAGAGGGAAGGGGCGAGGCGAACCTTTCGTAGTGCTAGGGTAGAGGCAGGGAGAAGGCATGTAGTCTCACCCCACCTGGGCTCTCAGAGTGGCATGCCGAAATCGGCTTTTTTTTCGTGACAGGAATAAATTAATTTTGCCACTCGTGGAGCCGATTTCGCTTTCAGTGGATAGTCTGGCGTCACGCAAAGTACTGTGGACAGATTTGGACAAACAAGTTTGCTAAAACGACCACTCAACCGTAGAAATGCCCCCCAAAATCCTTCATCATACCTTTAGTGTAAAACTACAATCCCAGAAATTTTAGGATTTATTCACAGCGGATTAAAGTTCTCTTCAAAAATTCAAAAGTAACAGCTGTTGTTTACAAATACGATACGTGCTGAGATAAAAAGAGAATTTACTCAGGAGGGGACACTGACAAAGTTGGTGAAGATGTAAAATGGATGGAAGAAAAAAGGTTTCCACTACAAAGTTGACTGCCTACACGTAATTTCTCTCCGCTTTGGTGACAAATTGGGTGTGATTCGACCCTAAGGAGACTTCTGAATTGTTCTTTCATGATAAATGATTCAAGAAAACGTGTTGACTAAATTTTAACATCTAAACTTCTTCAAACACCTATCTGTATTACCTCTGAAGAAAAAGTTGTCAATTTGCGCAGGAAGGGCAACAAAGAATATGTTTTTTAAAATTGAGGAACATCTTTGGTTGCTATTTAAAAAAGTTTTGAATGCTAAAACCAAAAGATTTAGGCTTATTTTACTTTACAGACTCCGAACGCACAATTCCCAACTGCTATGAACCCTTGAGTGGAACTTGCAAAACCACTGTCACTGAAGAGGAGGTAAGGGGAAGAAAGAAACCTTTGTTTCCTAACGAAGTCCTTCCTTTTTACCTTCCTTCCTCGAGGCAGGAAGGGAAAGGAGTGCATTCTTTTCCCCTTTCTCATTCCCTTAATTCCCTCCCCCACTTCTGGAGGGCAATTGGCAGGACTGCATTTGACAGCTTTCTTGGCATTCCAACCCCTCACATCAACCGCGCTTTGCTGCTCAAACATGGGACTTGGGGAGTGCACAGACGTAGACGGAAGGAATCAGCTAGATGAGATTAATGCATTTTAGCTTTGACAAGACTGGGCGTGTCGCAGCTGGTACTTATTTTCAAGAAAAGAAATTTACTACATAAAAGCAATTTGTCTCCTTGAGAAAGTAAAAAAGCTATAGCGCTCTGATTACTCCTCATGCCCCAATAGGGTAAACCAATATGGAAAAGTGGTTTATCATTGTTGTATGAAAGAGTTGGTAGGCGACAGAGGGCGATAGGATAGGTGGATACTGAGAAGCCTGCGTGTTACGGGGTGCGTATCACCACACTGGTGGCAAAAGCAGCCGGAATTTCTTTCATTCGATAGTAACAAAAAAATCTAATGTACTGCTTGCTTGAATTTTAAAGATTCAAGGTAAACTCAACCACTGCTGCCTTCTAATTGAACTGCTCCTCGATGTCCGAAAATAAGTGCAATTCCCTACTAAAGAGAATTTTGTTTATGTGGGAAACATTGTTAAAATTGTTGTTGTTTCCGATACTTACAATCCATTAAATTTGTTGGGTTTGTTAACTACCCATTACTCTTTCCAGTGGTTGCGATTTCTGGTGGGAAACGTTGATCAATCGCGCGCATAGCTCATTGTGTAACCATTTCGCTTCATTAACAAACACCTCACCTTTGAATTATGATTTATGCCATTTTTGAGCCTAAGAAACATTGCTTCAGTGCTTAATGAGAGAGATGCAAGAAGTTCAGTGAATTTTACGAATACTTTGTGTTGGAATGTGAATGTAACCTTAACAAGACAGTAGAGCCATTCCCGAAAACAGCATCTTATTTTAGTACACAACTCTTCGCAAATCACGTTTCAAACACTTTAAAAGTAAGAGCAGTAAAAAATTAGGAAGAATGACTTACCGGTGCTAGGAGTATTTTTTTTTCACATTGGTTAAGTATCACTGGATGTTCTTTTAGGTGCCGCATTTTTGTCTTGGTACTTGCCCTCTGAAATGCCACCCATGTACCCCATAATTTTTTACCCATTGAAAGACGCTCCGCCGGTCCCGGTCTTTTTGTTTTGGTAAAGTTTAAACAAAATCCACAATACTGACTGCCGCCGAGATGGGGCACCCTTCTATGTGTAGTCTTTTATCAGTCGGCGGCAGTCGGCCGGGCTATTATTAGATGAAGGAGACTACTTAAAACGTATCATTATTGTCACCGTAATTAAGGATATATGGAGTTGTTTTTACCTTTCAATGAAAATATCACTCACGTCTTGTGAAATTAGGCGGCATTTTATTGTTATCTTTTGAGACGCTGTGTGAAGCATTAAAATAAGTCCCCCGTTACTCAAATCTAGCTCTTCTGAGTTCAATATCCTGGCGACGAACAGAAAATAAGGAGTTATTTTTATTTCTTTAAAAAAATGAGTGAGCGACTTTAAAGATTTATTAGTAATTACAACGTTGATTTCAATTTGGGCCAGACCGTCCATATGGTGGATGTGTAGCGTCGGGTACTTGAAAGCTACCATGGAACAAAATGAAATCGTAAAGCCATGTAGTCAACAACCCAATCATCTAGCTAATGATCATGTCCAGGCTTATCTCTGGCATAAACTAGTTTGTTTATAGAAGTTTTTCACATTAAATTCGTGGAAAAAAGGCAAGCCGGCCGAGTTCACACAAAGAATACTGACCTCATTCTAAGACTTCTAAAGAGCCACACAAAATTCACACATAAAACAGTCACTTTGGCGTTGAAAGAAACTTGATAATGCGGGGCTATAAAAAATCAGTTTTAATTTCATTACCAAGAAAAAAGGAACGAGTTTATCCACCAGCTAGTCTAATAATGCCTAGTCACATTACTTCAACTCATTTCACCTTGATATCAACTTTCTACGGGATTTCATAAACGTGAAAGACATCAAAGTAAAACATTTTTCTTGAATCTTAGCACCACTGATGCAGCGCGCACTAATTACTAGATTACACGGTCATAGATTAAAAAGGTCACGAATACGTAGAGAACAAAGAGCTGAACACATTTAAAGGCCGTAAGCACCAAGCACAGGTGAAGTGGATAAGCTTTCACTGAAACAGAAACGTCGTGCATGGGGATAGAATTCCTTAACAGTAGCAGATAATATAAAGATGTATTTTAGGAGGAGGGAAGCAGCATAAAGGTGCTTTGAAGCGGTTAAATTTACGTCTCTCACTCTCTACCTACCCTAAACTTTGTGTTTCAACACACAGCAAAGACCTCAGCCCGAATGGGTGCAAAAAGCAGCACACTGGGTGGTCCCTGGGCTCCTAGCTTTCCCCTCCCTTTCCACTTCTGATTCTCTGCCCAACGCACACTTAGAGGCGCGCACACCTGTAAAAAGTAAGCGCACTGATGGCCGAGAAGTCGGCGTGTGCACCTCAGCTGCCAATTTACCACGGGAATATCCCTTGCCCTTTTCGCCCTCCTAGAATGCCACCTCTGGGTCCTTTGTAAATCCCCTCTAGCACTAAGCGTTAATTGAGGATGAACCCTAAAGGTGGGGGTTCGGTTAAGTGGCTCAAGGCTTGCGACTCTGATTCCTTCTTCTCAAAATTTTTAAATGTCAGTATCGAACCGTTTTACTATAGGGTCATTCATTACTGAAAGCAAGTTAAGAGTCCGGCAAAATAATTCAGAATTTCGGATTTTGATCCTTTTTCTCTTTTTGGACTCAAAATGTTAAAAATAGGCTTCTGAAAGAGAAACACCAAAAATGCTTTGTATGCCCTGCCTCTAACATGTAAAAGGTTATATGCTTAGAGGTATTCTTGGCAAAGACATGAAGTGGAGCCCAGACACAAACTATTGTCAATTTATAAAGTTCAAAAGGCTGCAATGCAAACATTCTGAGTAAATGAAACACTAATATTCATAAACTAGTCATTTCCAAGTAAATCATTTTTTAACCGATATCCATGAGACCAGTTCATCTAAATGAGAGTTATTAATTTTCCCTTTTTTAAATTATCCAAGTTGGCTTTAAATCTGCCTTTTTTAAGCAAAAGTACATTAATTTAATCTCTGATAGATGGATTTTGTATTGAAAAAGCTGGTAAAGACCATAGCAGACATTAAAATTGATATCACTAATTAGGAATAATAAGCTCTTTGTCAACTTGAGGTAATTGTATGTTGTATTTCTCGCACCAGCACATTGCTTTGCACTATTCGCATATTATTATGCTGCACTTTGGGACTTCCCTGAAGACGAAAGAAGAGATAGTACTCAAGGAGAATATGTACTATCGACTTACAGTAAGGCTTGGGGCTACCAGCATCGCCCAAAACAATGGTGGAGCCCGACGTGCCCCGTTAACAAAACCGATAGTTACACAAACTGGTAACATTTTACAGCTATGTTATGTTTTACGAACTTGTTACCACAAAAATTATCTCTGCTAATAAAATAAAATCAGTTTTGCTGTAGTAGCGTAATAAAATTTTAGGTCCTCGTAAGGTTGAAATGATGGTGAAACAGTGATAGGAAATGCCTTAATTGTGATTCTCCCCAAAAAGATTTGCACCTTGGAAAAAAACGATATTTCGATGAAATCTCCTGAATTAATAATTTATCCTATCGTAAATCGGGCTCGCAGCGGTAATCCCCTGGTGGTTGTAAATTTGATTTGCTCAATATTTTAGTAGCTATGCCGATAAAAGTTGATCTAGAATAAAATTAAAAAGCCTCCTAAGTAAATTCCCCCACAGACCTTATTCCTGAAACTCTTTTCTGAAGATGTAGGCTTGTAATTCTATGCTAAGCTTTACATTCTAAAGGAGGTAGTAGGATTGGTTTTAATCGGCTCCCAACTACCTTTTTTACACAAAATACGGATTCGTTATCCCAGAAATTGTATTTCATCCTGAAAGTCTCTCTTTTTATTTGAGCCAGATCATGGTCCTCAACTTAAAAACAATAGCAGCTAATCTTCATTTCTAATCTACCCTGCTAGCATGAATGTTTCAGCTTGTCAACTTAAGCTTCTCGTTCTCTTAATAAAGTTTCTACATTAGTCGCATTTATAAGCGAAGATTTGGTTGTTGAAATTGTTGTAATACTTATTAAAAACCAATTATTTGGCCGATATTAAGGCTACTGTTAGCACATATTACTAAGTATTTCCTACTAAGGCCGAAGAGAATAAAGTGACTGCCAAAATTTCCAGAACAGAACCATAAGTTATAGGAAATCTGTGAGAAGCTGTGTATTACTTATACTGTTTTAAGGTTCCTTTCAGAGAGGAGGCGGGGATACGAATCGAACCTCGTGACGGAGTCGATGTTCTGCAAGCCTGACAGTGGTTACGGATCCTCACCCCCCTAAACTCTGTCATGAGGTTCGATTCGTATCCCCGCCTCCTCTCTGAAAGGAACATTAAAACAATATAAGGATTATTAATGGGAAATTTTACTGATTATATTTGATTTAAAACCATCTACACTTACACGAAAATGTGACTTACTTTGATAGAGATAACTGATACCTTGAGTCGATGCAACCTTGTTCGTGAGAATGGAAGACCTTTCGGCTCACCCAAGATCAAATTCTGCATTTAAACAAGTACGTTGGAAGGACAACCATACAAGTGATTGAGTGAACGTATAAGTATTATAAGCATATAAATGCATATGGAAAAAATTAAGCCTGTTAAGCTCAACTAATCTCCTTTGAGTTGAAAATTCGAAGGCAGCACACATGTGCTATACGAAAGGAGAAAACTTGGTAGCAGGTGTAGAAATTTGGAAATTCGAAAAGAATGCTTTGAGGCACCCAAGTCTGATGGAGAAAAAATGTTTGTCCTGTGCCTTGGGCAAGCACGATTCGTTTTCTATACACGACTATACACTATACATTCGGGCACGCAGTTATGGGGACCAGAAGGCACTGAGAATGGAAGTAGACGACTAGAGCTTTTGAAAAAAGCAGTAGCGTCGATGATTGAGCGGGTCTGCAAACAAGATTGAGGCTCTCGGCGAGGTGTGATTGGGCCGCTGACACCACTTTTTTCTTCAGCTTTAGCTCGGAATGCCACCGATGTCTTAGGTTTCGGTCCCTTTGCCCTGTCAATGGCAAAAGTAAGTGAAGTGAAGATTTATTAGGAACAAAACTGCGTGTTGCGCCTTTTTATTTTATATTTTCATTTGTGATATATTATTCAGGCTCTGGGAGTTACCGATTCTCTAGGGTTACGGGTACAGACAACTGATGAGAAAGCAGTCATGCCAAAATTCTTTTTTGATAACCACTCAAGTGACAATTGCATTTTCACTCATTAGAAATTACAAAAATGTTGATCTTAATATTTTCTACTAAAAAAATATCTTACCAATTATGATTTATGGAAAGTCCACCAAGGGATTGCAATTTTACTTCTAAAAACGAATTTCTAGTTTTTTGAAATTTGGGTCTTAAGCCCTGCAAAACACTGATATCATTTTGTACTTACATAGTCTAAATCATCTTAAATACGATTTTTAGTTTATTTTGATGAGCGTCTTTTATGGCAAAATGACTGTAGCTTTAGTTGTATTTTCACTAGCGGTATAATAAAGAAGGTCTCAACTAGATGTCGTACAGATATCCTTTTTGATAGATTAAAAAAAAAGAACAAGTCAGAAAAATCTGACTTTAAATAACAAGGTCTTTTCCCATTTCCTGCGGTATCAATTGGCGTGATTTTAAAGACCTCTTAATTCTACTGTAGAAGATCCCATCACCCTTCTTAATATAACTTTATAGACCAAAAATTATTGTTTATGATCGGGCCCAATGGCAAGACTCTAGAATCATTTGGCTTGATCTGGCCTCATTGTTCCTTTGATACTAACTCGTAAAGTTGTAGACACATGCATAGAATATGTGGGCTGTCAAATGGTGTGTAGTGGCCCACGCCTTCTTTTATATTCTCTAGCGGGCTTTGCTATACTCTTGCTGAATCAAAAGGGCTTAATGCGACTCCCATCTTATCATTTTTGTGAATTTACTCTGCAAGTCATCACCTTTAGTAAACTCTTAGTTTTTTGTAGCATTTTTCACCTAAACTCTACTTGCCTCACATCTAAGGAATCATGTGTCTCTTATAGTACCTGTGGTTCTTTATTCAGTGGTTTTTTCCCACTGTCATCCTTCCTTTGAGTAATAAGTTAATTAGTTTATGGTTCGTGAGGTATTACGGGAGTATTCGCTGCCTTGGTCTTATGACTGATGTGTTTATCTTAGTTTTTATTTGAAAATGCAGGCTATTTCCGAAGGTAAGGAGAGCGGGAGGGAAATTATCTTTGGGAGCAGAGGGCGCATTTTTAAGGTCCAAGCTATAAAATGTAAAAAGCGGTAGAATCGTGTCCTTTTTCTCCGCGGGAGAGAGATAGAGTAGGGGAGCTGGCAGCATTCTCTGCCATCGCGCAAGCTCTAGTAGACCCCACACGACGAGAAGAAGAGTTTGCAAGTCAGCCAAGTACCATGCACAGAGGGGCCGTGAGGTAAAAGCCGTCTGTAAAAAATGATTAATTACCCCCCAGTAGGCCAGGCAGCGAGGTAGCCCACGAATCCCAATAAGAGGCAGAGGGAGGAAGGTGGAAGGACAAAAATGCTTTTTACCCTCTTTCCTCTTATACCTTCTCCGTCCCCTCTGACCTTATGCCTTTCTTTATCGTAGATAAATGTTAACATGACATCCCAGTGTTTCGTATTTTACTGGACCACGAAACTTGCCGTGTTTTTTCAATTTTAATGCAATAATCAACTCCCAGGAGTAAAAGCAATCAGCTAGATAGAAAGTGGTATAATCCGAGCATAGATTGGGAACTGGGCCATAAATACACTTTATTGTTGAGTCGAAATGCTTTCGTGAAATACTCTCCCCGTGCTCACTTCCATTTATTTAGACCTATTCGGAATTCCAAGTGGCCTAAAATCATTTCGGTCCTTATTATTTGCTTTGTGATCCAGATTCGCTTGCTAAAAGCAACCATGATTGAAGAGTGATTTATGAATGCCTGCAATGGTTAACAAGTTAAAGTTTCTGATAACCAAATATGTAAACTTGAAATTATGGTAAGCAATTCTATCCTAAGTGCGGCAGTGAATATATACGATGATAGCAGTTGCCTACCCAATGAGCTATCAAAGAAATTACCTCCATTTGAGGACTCTAATATTCCTTCCAAAATGAGTCAAAAGTAATTACAAATTACGTTAAAGTCTGGCAAATCCCCCTAATTGAAGAGTTTACTCAATAAATAAACTATTATTCTCTCCAGTCTTTACTTGCAAAGGTTTTCATTATTGTCACAATTTTATCGACGTCTATGGTGTGCTCCCTTTCAACGGTTGACCTGCATCAGGCAGGGTTTGACAAAACGAATGACAAGCCTGCTGTCATGTAACGTATGTTAATAGGTTGGCACGACGTTTGCATGTGGGTATGCTGGCGTTTGCAGAGGTGCTCTCATTGCCGCTGCGCCATGCTGAATCTTCACTTCCCTCGCCTCCTCCTCCACCGCCCTTGCTCTTTGAGTTTCTCTTCCCATCAAAAGGGCTTGTTCTCTGATAACAATTTTTTGCTCTGTGGTAGGTCGGTCTCTCATACACGTTTGCGTAAATGTGCTGTCTTAAGCATTGGCGTCTGCTACTGTTTCTGGTGCTATTCCTGCTTGTCGTCCAGCACGACTGTTGTCAGGGCACCTGCATGCCTCACACAAGAGGTTGTTCATCATTTCTTGCCGAGAAACCACAGAAACCTCCTGTTGTGGGTACTACAGGCGCGCCTGTTGTTCACTGGTGCTTTTTTTACACAATGCAGCGAAGCAACACAATTTTTCAAGGTCATCAAGATAAAATTTATCGTTCGTGCTGTAAATCTAAATGCTGCGCTTGGTTGCTACACAAATGGTGATGGGACTGAAGTAACATGGTGGGATTGAGCATGGTTGGCGAATATTTTGCATTTGGATACATGTTTGCCAAAGAAAATAGTTTTTTTCAGGCGTCAATCAACGTTATAAGAACAAATTGCGATGGTCATTTTTATTTGTTTTGTGTTTAGCTGATTCAAGGCTATTTGAAAAAAGTAAAATAAAGAAGCAGAGACATAGTAAATACTTAGCTGAATTATAAGCCTTTTTTTAGTTTAATATCTCATCGCCAAATAGTTTGATTTAAAATAATTCCGTGGATACCTAATAATATCATCATTTTTCTGGAAAAGAGCAAAAATTTTGTCATCTGTTGAGCCTCAATGTACTTGTAAGAAACTCCATAATAAGATTTGTGCCAAGAATTATGACGGACACCAAGAAAATACGTTAACACCTAGGTGAGTATACTGAAATTACACTATACGTCTAAAGATGGCTTTTTGGAGAAGAAACGACGGAGCCGAACTGTATATTTGTTTGGATTTTGTGCGGGTGAATTACAAGCAGTGTAACGGTTTTCTGCAAGAGTATTTACAAGACCTTTTCTTTAAGACACGTGCAACCTAACCGAATCACAATTACCAATGCAACAAAATATAGTTCAAAATCTTTGCGCTGGTGGCATATAGCAAAGACGATTATCAACCACTAATTCTAACAGACGGTGGTTCTTGAGCGTTTGTTAGTTGCTTAAGTTTTATCAATTCCTTTTTTGTGTAGAATGCGATTTTAAAAGCCCTTGAGTATGGAGAACCGTTTCTTACCTATTAAATGACTTGGATATTAATCGAAAGTAGTTTAATGCAAGGAACGTGACTTTTAGACGAAATGCTTCGGTATTCTTCTTATTTGTCCCCTCTACCCTCAGTTCCAGACCACTGAATATAGAAAGCTGGTTTAAAAATTTATCACTTACTGCGGTAATGTGAAAATTTATAAAAGATCGAAGTCTAATGGATAATCAGAGTTTATTCCCTCCTTAGAGATCAATGACGCTTCCTTTGTCACGAGGTTGGTAAAACTTCCTCACTTGTCACCTAAAAATGTATTCAAGCAGTTATTTACAGCAATATCATTCATAAGCTTCTACAAATACATATACTTGGCAATCCGAAATTTCAAAGTTCTTTCAACGACAGTACCTGATTTCGTACACATATTCTTTTTCGGAAAAAAATTGTTCTACTATTTACTCACACGCCAAATATTCTTTAGGATCATGGTACTACTTTGAAACACATTGTTCTACTCATTAAAATTTTTGATTTACCCTAAATAATTGCAGACCACTCAAATTGAACCCGCCCACCAATGACATTGTCCATTTACGAAAATCTGCAGCTGATTAAATGGTGTAAAAAAGAAGATTCTTGGCCGGTCACTAAATCACAGGAAACTTCTGTTTTTACACGTTTTACTTACGTGTTCACCTTAGCTTATTAAAAACTTAACTACAAGGAGACCCATTACATCTCTACAGGTGATATGATAACTAAGAAAATTAGAAAAGCCGCTTTTGACAAGACAGAAGGTTTGGGTTAATGAAGTCAACCGTGTTTGCCTTGGTCGTCTGTTCCGATATTTTGGATAATAACAACACAAGCCGCATTGCACTTTCTGGCTGCTGTATACTTGTCAAGACTGGTTAAATGTACGATGGATTGGGGACAATTGCGGCGAAACGGAAGCAAGTAGACTACAAAAATAAAAAAGTTATACTTTTAATCACCATCTTCACAAGTTCATTAAACAAATTGTTGCCCGTTAATTGAGGACGAAAATACACTTAGTACTATTTCATGGAATTAATAAGCACAATTTGCATTATTATAATGCCTGAATTCTAAGAAGTGTTACATTATTTCCCCGAATGTCAAAAAGGTCACAATATTTAAATAAAGGCAAATATTTTGCAACTTTCGCTATTTGATTATCCCTTTTACAACGAAAATTAAATGCTACCAACTGACAACAAACGCTCTACATTTAGAGATTAAAAAAGGAACTCGTTTTCCTTGGTTTCTTAGTCCAACAACATTTCCCTGACAACGCTCATAGCTTTTACACGATCATGAGGCCGCCGTGTATCACAATTTGAAAACCTCAGCATCGAACAAAAAATCACCACCTTTTTCCTTCTAACTGCAGCATGGGTGGGCTCTTCACGTCCAAAAAAAACACTTTTGACGGATATCATTGTGATAAAAAGGGCAAAAAATCACTTCTACTTCTTTTCCTCGCCTCCAAAGCGATGAGTCCCGCCTTTGCATAGATGTTAAGATGTGCGTGAATGCGTGTGTGCTTACCTCAGTCAGCCGACTTTTTCGTTGAACTCAAGGACTGCCAAAGAGTGCGTTATGGTGGACACTGTAGGTAGCTTGGGACCGAGAGAAATGATTCCCTGGAACCTTCAATGCACAAAACCGGAAGGCAGGACGGAGTTCATTGATGATATTGATAATGATGGGGAGAAGTAGGGTGTTTGGAGGTAGTGTCATCATTAATAGTGTAAACATAGACAGAAGCGCGGGGAGCGCAGGCAAGGAATGACCTCGTAAAGGAGGGTGGAATTAATTTGCTGGGGGAAAATTTTCCTTGTGGGTGGTCGTCTATAATAAATGTACGCCTGCATACGTACGCTTGCCTTTTGCAAGATGGGTGCTCTTAAGGGCTTTCCTTTGGTTTTCCTCTGAGAATTTTAGGATGGTTACTCGATTTATATCCTGTAAGTTGTAATTCATTCAGAAGTATTCCCTTTACGAAACAAATGAGAGAAACTAATTTTGGATAATTTGTTAAAGCTGGACTTTAAACAATGTAAATTTATATCTATTCCAATTTTTTCTGCTTAACTTCTGGAGGTTACATTAATGCTCAGTAGGCCATTGTATATCTATTACCTGTTTTTTTAAATTAAGTGAGACTGCGCCCAAACGTCCTAGCATGTACTACATTAGTATGAATAGCAAACTATCCATCAATTTGTTTATTCAAACCCTAAGTAATTTTGACGCGCAATTTCTATTTAAAAAGGCAATTCCTTATGAAACAAGTATCAAAGCACCAGTAGAATCATCCATTGTAATCCTTCCCAGATTGACGAATGTGCTGATGGAGAAAGCTAGCCTGGAGGGCACTTTGATTAGTGTAATTGTATAGCCACAGTGGCTCTCATCAATACGTTAATTGTAGCAACGAGGTACCATTGTTGTAATCAAATGTTATCTAAATTTTAAGGACGAAGCAATCACTCATGACTGGAATTTTATCTACATTTGAATATAGAAGAGAGAATTGAGTGTATGCTAGCCAAAGACCAGCATAACATTGTATGGGTTTTGAAAGTAAGAATCAACCATATTTTTTATTATTAAAATGTATAACTTAGCTTCTGAATTTAAAATAAACCGAAATTGATTGGAATTTGTTGACCTTAGCAAAATCATTCACTTGATTGTAATGTTGACTGTCGTCATGAATCACTGTGAATGGTAATGTTCCTGTTAGTACAATCTGTGGTCTATTAGAAGGCTCAATTAAAAAGGTCAAAAGGGGTACAAAAGAGATGCATATGGGTATGTTTTCTTTCGACAAAAGGCACCATAATTCATTGTGACAGGAGTGAACGCATTACTAGAGGATAGAAAGTAGGTGTGAGGTAAGTCTATGAAATTCTAAAATTTGACGACTGAATTTGATCCCGCTTTTCATTTTTTAGCACAGACTAAATAAGAGGTGGATGCATGATGCGTCTAGTTTGAATACTTATCCCAGTTTGGAATTCTAAATGTTGTGTCAGGGAAGATTGGCGAGCATGACAAGTTTGTGTGTAAGTAAAGAGGACAGACCTACTAGCGGTAAAACATGGGCAATATCTCCTTTATGTACAACTCAAGATGGACTGTTAACTAGACTAATGCCTAAAATCTGTTGCATTCGATTGCTGCTTTTACAAGATAAAGTATTTTATTATTCCTTATATTTGGTCACGGTGATGTCAAAATGTAGTATTATATAAGCAACCATAGTGATATCCATTCCAGAGAAAATGTCTGTTTGTGGGTATTTCTGTAGCTTTGCTGCAATTAGTTTGCGTAGTTTTAGACAAATTATTAAAGCCTATGGGAATAAGTTGCTGTTACATAACAACAAAATTTAATAGTAAATTCCCAAATCTGAGATTGGACATTTCAGTAGCTTCTGTTCCTTTCCCCAAGCTTATATCATCGAAGATGCTACATCGACTAAGGGTATGAGAGCTGTTTGATAAGAAATAAATTTAATGGAATATTTTTTTCTTCCCTTTGCAGTAAGCATGTGCCAAGAGGTGAGCAATATTGTTAACAAAAATTAAGGAAAAAATGACCTACAATATCGTAGGTTTTGTTCATTCACTATGTAAAGTTCCTTTTATAGGCCCCCGAATTGTATACCAAGTCGGTGTCAAATGGTGGTGGAGGTATGGTTCTCAAATTTCAGCATCTACCTGCATCGCCTTAAATAGGAGGAGGAGGAGGGGGAGGAGGAGGAGGTGAAGACAAGTTATTATCGCCATATGTTCTACTGCTACTGCCGCTAATCCCCTAATGACAGCCGTCCATTACTCCTAATAAGACCTTTTTCATCACGTCTACGTCGCCATAATCTCAACCCACCCTGCCCTCTCCCCCCTTCATTCCTCTCTCCCTTTCACCTTCAGCTCTAAGCGGCGTTTTTCAGAGATAGATTTATGGACAGTTAATTAAATGCTTCCAAAAATCTTAATAATCATCATTACTTTAAACAGATGATAATTAATGGGGCTCAGCAGATTTCCACCTCCATAATGGCAACTTATGTTGGGAAAGCGATGCCTATTTCGGTCCTCATTGGGTACTCCCCAGTTATGCCTGCGTTAACAAAATTAAAATTAAGTTCGTTTAATTCTTCAACAAAATATTAATTACGGAAACCACTTAATAATACCTATTTGTAACCTTGGAATTTAAAAGTCAGCGTAAAGCGTAAATTATTTTAGCATTGTTATTTCGTTACAACCTTTTCTTTTCATTCAATTACTGACGGAACACCGTAAAAAAAGAAGGCTTAGTTTTAAAAATCACATTACCTTCTTCAAGCTGTTGTCTAAAAATGGTACAAATTGTGGAAACACATTCATCTGTTCTTAGGCTAAATATTCCGGATCATAAAAGTTGATGAACCATGTCCCGTGCAACCTTACATTCTGAAGATTTCTTTATGATATCTAATACTTATTATTTTTGGATATTACCACCATCGGTGACGACGACTCTTCGGATGTTATCGGAATGTGACAAAATTTTTAGTGCGACAACGTGAACAAAATTGCATCTAACTTTACATATTTTTTTTACTAGGGAGAATAGGGACTGGCCTGAACGCTTGTGACTTCCTTTCTTAATGATTTTGTAAAAAAAATTCATTTTAAAGAATCGGAGACAGTCTCTCTCAATACATTTAGTTTTGTCTTTTTAAAATGAATTATAAGCTTGAACAAGTTCCGTTCTTGGCATTTGGGTCGATCGTGGCATAAAAAATTCTTTTAATAAGACAGAACACTCCAAATTAGCTTCAAAAAATCAACTTAATTTTATGCAAAAAAGCGAATATTCCTGACGGAGTGTCTTAACCATGAATAAATAAACTTACTTTCCTAATCTGCTTGCAAAATTATGCTATTTATTGTGGGAAAGGACGGTAGTAGATTAGCATGGGCAGCTATTTTTGAAGGCACCTAAAGTGAACAATAATCCTATTCGATTTGCACAGACATTGAAAGGACGTGTCCACATCACACACTTTTCTCCAACTTGCCAAATCCTACAACAAGAAAGGAGTCAGGAAGTTAAAGTTATTTTTTCTTACCATCCAGCATCCATGCACCCTGACCGAAGTTATGTGCTTTTTTCTTCTGCCTTCTTTGGGCTATGGAATTATTTTAAACAGTCATTCATACTTGACCCAAAAATCCTTTTCTTCCCTATTGTCCTGGCTACGACACGATGCCATTGCCTGAGGAGGCAGAAAGAAAAAAGCATTGACATTGAATTACGCAAAAGCCATTGCGGAAATCTTTGTTTCCTCTGGCTCCGATTGTACAAAGTGCAAATCCGCAAAAATTTGGCACTGAGGTCAAGAAGTTCCTGAAATATCGCAGCGACAAATTTGTCTGCAAGACATAAATAGAAGAAGAACTTGCACTTGTATCTTATAGTTAAGAAAAGTATAAAAGCAAAAATGACTGTTTTCCCTTAAAATTCTTAAATACCAACCGAGTACGGTAATGTGATTTTGTTTAAATCTTTTCGAGACTTACTCGATCCCCGACGATTACCTTAGTTTGACGTGGTCCTACCTTCTTGAGACTACCTTTAACCTCGACATCCAACATTTAGTGTTGTACATCGAATTAAATCTTAAAACAGCTCATTTAGGAGTTCTGAGACTTGAATAAGACTTATTTGGCTTCTACTTCACTTTTCCACTTGGAATTTTACACAGTTCTCATTTTAGCTCTTTAAACTTCTGTCCTACTTTTAGAAGCTTGAAATTTAGCAAAAGGCACACCTCTTCCTTGGACTTATAGCCTTAAATTAGGACAAAAGCTGGAGATTTAGAATCAAGGGGAAATTTAAAGTAAGAATCCACGAAAATTTCTGTAAGCAAAGGATGATCTGTTTGGGAAAGTTAACTACGGGACCTAGTGGAATCAGGTCGACGACCGCCGGGAAGCGTAGTGTTACCGGTTGCCCTTACACTCTCCACCGCGAAATGGCTATTCCTCTGAAGTGACCGCGCACGGCATCCCTCCTTCTATGATGGGAATTTCTTTCATGCCTGTGTTGTGTACAAATCGCACAAACAACTTCTTGCACACACGGATTCCGTATGGGCGGCAAAATGTAGGGCGAATTCAAAGGCACCAGAAAAACGGAATTTTATTACCATCAGCAATTATCTCGCATCCTTTTCCCCTTCCCATTTTTTTTCGCCCTAATTCTTTTGTTTTGAACTAATGGACCCTTTTTTGTAAAAAGCCGGAATATTATTGCAGAAACATCTTAAAAATATAGCCTACGTGAATGTTAGTAATTAGATATTTAGTTATTTCCGGTTGCTGATTATAAAACTCTGCAAAAATTAGATGTAGTCACTAAATTGTATCATTTGAGCAGCTTGTTTGACCCATTCCACATGTGTAAACGAGGAGGCCTGGACGCCCTTACCTTTATCCCTTTGGCACTGTTTATATGGCACAAAAAATTCGACCAAATTGATAAAAGGATTAATCATGAAAATGATTGTCACCATCCCTTCAATTTTACCCTAGTTTACTAAATCGCAAAATTGTTTATAAGCACGGTCTAGGGTTACATACTTTCCAACTTTCCATCCTTTAGGCGATTATCCATTAAATTATATCCAAACTTCCCAGCGGCCATCTGAAGAGGCTACCCATTAATTTATTTACCGTAGTATCATCTTCGTAATTTAAAAAAGTTAATGTTGCTAATGCTTATTACTAGGCCTTCTCACTGATAGAGTTCAGCGCAACATCAGAGTTAAGTATGAAGGCGTTCACAAAGTTCGAAATTATTGATTTGTTTTGAAGGACCATAGTTGTGCACAGCCGCAGTCACTAACTATGGTTGTTAGACAGTAGGTAGAATACGTTACCCAATAAGGCGGAAATACAAGATATTGGTCAGTAGGCCAAAATTATCTAAAACTTTTGTTGGATAAGGGAACATTCAGTATTCTTTACACGTAAAATTGAAATCGGTTATATCCACAGCATTTGATGGCGATATTTTGCACCGTAGCCACCAACTTCGCCTCTATTTTCTGATGCCTTGGTTGCCAGGAAATGTCAGTCGTCCATCAGGCAGGTTGAAAATCACTGCAGCAACGAGGCGGGCGCATCTGACATGTCAACGTAGGCTGCCTCTCGCAGTTGTCCCCAAGGAAGCTACCAAATTGTGCATTATCATCGTCTGTCAGACAGCAGCAGTTTTCGCTAGTGCACAAAATGGCCACACAACGAAACTGTCAAACGAGAAATGTCACCAAATCTCTCGCTGTCCCGCTGCCTGGGCTTCCACCTTTGCTTCTTGCTTTTCTTGGACTGAGTTTGTTGTCATCTGCCTAGCTTATGGATGATACAACTGATTTTCTCCTTCTGATCAATAATAAATTGTAGTTTTTCAAAATTTATTTAAGATTATTGTCCAGAGTTTCATTATTTAGTTCACTCACCCCAATACTGTAATTAAAATGAAAGAGATATGGAAAACAATAACGTTCTGGTATAGTTCTTTTAGGAATCACATAATTTGGTGGATTTATGGTTAGGTAAGTTCTTTTTTATGTAATCCGAAACCGCCGGAACAACTTTTTATCATCATTCTGGCGTCATCGAATTCCCGTGAAGTATGCACGAAACTTGACTACGATTGCACTTAATTGGACATCCCTCCTGTGAGAGTAAATATTTGGTGGTAAAATCAAACACGGTGTCAGTGCGTCGAAATCTTATGTAAAATTCGTTACTTGATTTTTTAATTTGACCACACCTTCTCCACCTCAGCGATTTGCACCAAAATGGTTACTCTAAGTATCACGCAGTTCGGCTTCAAATACCGGTATTTTGACCTGTTTCAGAAGCTTTCAGATGTTTGTTAGGGTATATCTAGCAGAGGGTCCCTCCTCCGCATCTGAGGAGTTGCTAGTGTTTCGTCAATGCTTTTTCTCTAGAGGAGTGTTTTTTGCGGCGTAAATGAGTGTGAACTACAAAGCCTTGTTCCTTCACACTTTGTCTTCATCTTTAGAGTGGAAGTGGGTTTTTGTGGAGGCCTTTAGAGGCCAGGGAAATTTTTCGGACTTTCTTTTAAAGAAAAGAGGCCGTAGAGGACAAAAACTACTACAAGGCTTTCTTACTTACATTGTGCGAGTAGAATTAACCATGGTAAACATCCATCTCCATTTAAAAACATGTCAGCACTCCCTTTAACACATATTTGGACAGGGAAGGAAGTTACTGTTTTGCTTTGAGATTTGTGAGAATTTCCTTGGCGTATTTACCGCCAACACCGTTACTTAATAGTCATAAATGAAGGAGAAATAATTCGTTTAGAGCAGCTTTTCTATGTCATTTAGTTAAAAACTAAAAGGTTGTCAAAAACCATATCTGCTTAGTATAGGTATGAGAGATCCCGTTTGCGGCATTCAAATAGTCTTGTGTTAAAGTCTTTTAATAACCTTGGTAATAAATTTATTAAAGACTAATTTTTACTAGAGATCTTTGCAAATTTTATTAAAACTAGTTAGCTAACCACCAAATATTTAAGTTATTAAGGTGCATTAGAGTAGAATTACATTATGAAGGGAATAAATTTGTAATATAGCAAAACTAAGATCATCACGTAAAACCAACTTGCCCACATCTTATAAATGCTTAGAGGAAGGTTTGCATGATATATAGTTGCTTTTTTATATTGCAAATAAATCAGATTGATTTTTTCACAAAATTTGTTATTCATAGCCACTATTCCTTTTAATGAAGCAACATTTTATAAAGGGAGTTGGGCAGGGAATAAATAACCCAACTTGAAACTTAGCTGTACTGATTTTTATAGTCTGCCTGTAGGTAATTTAAAGAAGTTAATTGTTATAAGGGAAGGATTTCTAAGAATTTAAACAAATTAAAGTGCAATAAACTCGATTATTTTGATGCATCAGAATAACAGATCCCTTCAATCCTGACCATCCATGGCTGTGTCACGCTGCAAGCATTGTTCACTCTTATCCTATCCAGATATTGCTGACACTAGTTTTGTTATTTTACCTCCACTTAATCAGTCATCAATCATGACGAAGATTTCTGAAAAACTCTCGAAAGAGGTAGTTCTTCCTCCCAACTGTGGGTGGTCCGGCAAGCGGACTGAAAAATGCCCAGGGATAATTTTCGACGGGGTAGTGTGTATATAGGTGTGTGTGTCTGCTTGCGGTAGACAGGCCTCGTAGATGCCTTTAGTAGACTCCAAGACTTCCTTTTTATGTAAAGGATGACTGATACCATTCCCCCGGTTGGCCAACTTATGTTCGCCATTATTTAATGTCTAATTGCTACCCAACTTCACGAGCTGTTTTGTAGCAGACAATTACATTCTTATCTATTCCGCGAGTAATTTGAGTGAAGTTTTAGATTGCCATTTCAAATATGGTTCTTGTTCTTTGTTTTTAAGTGTTTCTTAGTGGATCTTGAATAGAAACTTAATCTGTTATAGGATTTATCCGCATCCTTGCAATGTATTTATTTGGATGCCCTTTATCCCATGATAACCAAGAAAGAGCAACTTTTGAGAAAGTTTTGCCTCTGATGCATGAAAACCTAATGCGTCATAAGTCCTTTTAGATACATTACCTTGTTGAGCTGGTACAGTAGTAGAATGCTGTTTTAAGCTTGTAACGATATTATTACAGTAGTAACTTATGTGTAGATCGAGACTGATTATATGCATTCGAAACGGGTCACTAATGTCCAAATTCTAGATTGCTAGAAAAAAGCTCAACAGACTGTCATCAAACTTCCCAATGGTCCCTCACCTGCTTCGTTTGTACTTAAAGCCGTCTACTATGGGTTGGTTCTATGAGTCAAGTGAAGTATACATTGAGAATAGTAACGACTCACGTTCACGAAACAAAAGCCATCAAATCCAGATCTATCACTCTGAAAATGCCTTATTTACAGTTGTTGAGCATTCAATGCTTGGCGATGCTTAATAAAGCTTTCAGGTGGAATAATTTTTAAAAAAACGTTAATGGAATATTCATTTCTGTTTTAAATACCTCCTGTAATCACATCTAAAACCACATCTCTTTAATGCATAATCAATTTCAAACCATCCACATTTAATCCATTACTGTTTTCCAGAAGGCCTTCACGTTTGATTTGCTCTCAATGAGTTCTTTTAACATTATTTAAAGTCTGCCTAAATTTACTGGGTTGCATCTTCCCATCCAATGCCACCAAATCATTTGGAATTTTATCGTATTCTGGATGACCTTGTAAATTCCTCTTTGGTCTCCATTTATTTGCAGGAACTATTGCTAACCTAGTAATGAAATATAGGAGAAATGGATAAAGTAGTAATATCAGTGTACCTTTATAAGCTGATCAACTCGTGGTTCCCTTAAATCTGTACCTCATTTTTGCGCAAACCTTATTAGGACCAGTAACTTCTTCCTTTTGGACTTTGTGATTGCCTTAAAGACCGCATTGCTCTTTCCTAGCTTTAATCTGTGTGAATTTATTCGTGATCGGTATCCTTCCTTGACCAAATGGAAAATCTCAATTTTATACTCATCAATTTAAAAGTGCTACCATTGTTGCAATACTCAAGACTTGCTCGTGTCAAAAAGGAAAGCTTTGAATTTTGCCACAAGCTGAATCATTTGTAACACATTTTTTGTATTCTTTAACAAGCTTCAAATCAATTGAATAAAAAAAAAATGGTAAACTTTAAGGGTGTCTGCTTATTAGTTTAATTCAAAAGTCTCTTTTAATTTGACTGCTTTTACAAGACGTATCCAAGAAAAAAGACTGCCTTAAGCATGTAAAGAAAACTATGTACAGATATTTAATTTCAAATTTTAGGACTACGTATTGTCGAAACCAAGTAGCCTTCGGTTGCTAGACGCTGTTTAATTGCTGTCTTGGAAGCATGCAAAACTGTGTACTTAACATCAAACAACAGCGGCAAGCGTCTACCCCAAAGCGGCCTCCACGATACTCACGTGTAGTCCGCCTGGCCTGAGGTGCCTCATTTTACCCGCCAGCACGAAGGACCTACATCGACGGCTGTTGAAGACCAGTTTCTTGGGAAAGCCGGTGCGGCATGCCGCCTTCGATCTGAGCGCTTTCAACTGCGTCTCTGATGTAGTCGCGGCAGTAGTAGTTGCAGCAATGGCAATGCCAGTTGCATTGACCTAGAACGCGTCCCCTGCAGCAAAAATGTATTTCTTCCTCTTTTACTACTGCTTACTTTGGCTTCCTACATTGAAGTCGATTTCGGACCGAAAGACCCTACTTTATAGCTGTGCGCAACTGGAGAAAACAAGGCAGAACAGGTACTTTATTTTGCTACTGTACTAGTTTATTTACAAAGTATTTCTCATAGAACAATAAGGGTTGTCATTTTCGACTGTTTATCACCTGCTTCAGTAACAAGAGAGCCAGAAAAAGAGATTGGATATAGTTATATTGGTTTATTGCGATTACACGCAAAAGCTCTGACGGTACTAAAATGCATCAAAATCTGCTAAACTGCTTTCATTTTAATTTAAACAATGCTTTAATGAGCATCAGTCGAAATCAAATGTGGAAACATTCTAAGTGCTTTGTAACTTCAACATAGACATTTGTATTGCGTAGGGTGGTATGATAAGAAATAGATGCCTTTATGAATGAATTTGCACTAGATTCTAGTGACTCATATTTCAACAGTCAGCATTGGTAACTGATATATTTACTATTTTAGCTTAAGCTAGTTTAATTTAGAAAAAGTCAATTATGTTGTTTAGTGTTTGACTATGCAAAGATCACAGTATTATTGCAGGAGTAATATTGATAACGTTAATAATTTTTTTAAGACTCTACTTTTTACGAAATTACTAGTTCTTTCATTGGCTTCTGGGTGACTTTCGTTTCAAATTGATCCTGGAATAGAATACTTTAATAGTAACTCAAATGTTTGGTTGATTGCTTAAGCACTCTGTAAGATACCCTTATCAAAGTGCGACTTGAGGCTTATATTTAGCAAAAAAAAATTCTAGATAATTTGGGTTCATCCTAAAAGTTTGCCTAAAAAATCCTGTTATCATTGAAAAACAAAACTTTTAACAGTTTTCAACATTTAATTTATTTATAAAACTATTAGAAACCGTCATGCTTATTTCGCACAGGAATCTAGAAAAATTGAAGAATTCAGTGTCGCTAGAGCCAAACGCAGGAAAGTGATTTTGACAAGTACCAAATCATGTTTGCTCATTTCCCAAAACTCCCATTTTTAATAAATCTTTAGCGCTGTTTTCTTGATATACCTTTTTCTAGATTATTATGGAATAAATACTGAATGATCATGTCATGCTTAGAACGCGTTAGAGAAAAGTGTGTTGTAAACTTCGTTGACTTGATTTCAAGATTTATGCAATCCAGTTTTATGAAACTGGTATTGTTGCATTCACTCAAGTTAAGTTAGCTTAAATATCGTCATGTAATTTCTGTCCAGATGAAGATGCTCAAGCATGCACTAATGAAGACAGGACTTCCCGAGACATTTTGTAAATTGCATTTTGGAAACTAGAACCTGCCAAACCAGTCAATTTTGATTTGCAGCATCATCTAAAAGCATTAACTCACTATTAGGTTCTCAATCTCTCTAACTTGTCTTCTTTCAGTAACCATTCATTCAATCATTCATCCATCCATTTGTCTGTTCTAAGGAGCTATGAAGAAACGCTCTAATTATTTTCAACCTTGTCAAACACCATCCTCTCATCGGCAGTTGTCAATGCCTGAAAGGTGTTAATGGTGGACTAGATACTAACCAATTAGGTGTAAGTCCCGCCTGTCGTCCACTTCTTTACCGGCTATTAAAATAGCGGTAAGTTTAATCGTAAGACTCATGGTCATAATTACCATCCCAACAAACAAAATCTGTCATTCAGTAGAATAATGATTTAAGCCTTCTGTTTCATTTTATGTCTACTTCGGAGAAGATGTGATGATAACACAGGCTTATCCCAATCCATTTTTAAAAGCCAGATTGTTGATAAGCTCATTAAACACACATCTCTTAATTGGTATTTTATAAATCAAATGTCATTTGATCACACCGACTAATTAAAATGATGCCCGTTTGATAGGTAGTTGCTGTCAAAAAGTTTCTTTCGGCTTCGAATAAGTAACGAAAAAAAGGAATTGCTTCAGCAGCCTAACGACAATAAGGCTAATTAGGTATGAGAGGGAAAAAGTGATAAAAGTATCACAAAATGATTAATTTCCTTTTACTTTAGTTAATTGAAAGGGATAATGTTAAGAAAAAGTTGTCAAGTCTTTTAACGAAGAAAAGGGATTTGGCCTTATTGAAATTATAAAAAAATCAGTGGTGTTGTAACTACAGGTAATTATTAAAAATGTCTGGACAAAGTCATAAATGAAGTTTATTTGAAGTGATAAGTTGATAATTGTTCTCCAAAGCGGTTTGTCCACTTTGAATGCATGAGATGTGGACCGTTTTGGGCCAAGTGATTTAGCCCATGCATTATGCCTGATTTTAATGAAGTCATTTTTTTATTTTTTAGTTGTCATCTCTCCTTCAAACTACTTTTTGTCATGAAAACATGTAGAACCGAACTTCCTTAACCAAAAATTGATGTAAGCCTTATGATTAATGCTACTTACTACAGAACTGAAGTGACAGCTGTGGGAATGCTACTTCCACGCTAAAAGCTGGGCTTGCATAAATTCAATTGCAGAGGTATTTTTCTGTTGATTAAAGATGCAAAACTTTGAAATTCTCTTTAATTAAAAATCAGGATGAGATCGCTGATAAATACCATCATTTTTTGCATTTTGGTAGCTTTCAAAAAGTCAAACGTCAAAGTAACTTTTTTGGAATCGTAACTTGCCATAAATTCAGATTAATATCTAGTAGAAGACTTGAAGAATCATACTTTCCTGAGGTGCGCTAATCATAGCTTCCTCACTAAATCCATCATTTAGATTTCTAGTATGATTTTTCTAGTAGTTAGGCCTGGGGTTGACGGTAATGTCCATATTTCAGGTATCTTTAGGACAAATTATTAGTATTGGATAAGTCCCATAAGATTAGTTTAAATGCAGCATAAATACGAATTATTTCCTATTCAGCTTTTAATCATTTGAGAAAGTAAGAATTGAGAATTGAAATCACTGTCTCTTAGCAAATCAATAAATATTATTATGAGAAATAATACTAACGATTGTCAACTCGTTTAAATAAATTTTGATTTTTTGTGGTGAAGGGGATTATTCACTCAGCAAATAAATCCTATACTTGATGCAGTTGGCATATCCAAAATAAGCGTTGATTTATTTCAGTAATAAGTAGTATGTATTCCGTTCTTCTAATGCACTTAGTAACACGCGTAAATTGTCAATCGCAGTGCATCTTTCAGTATGGCATCAAGCCCGTAAACCTATAAAATTCTTCGCTTTTGTTCTAACTGCTCCAATCATCGACCAATATACCTTAGGGTTAATTGTTAACATTTACAAAAAGTCGGTCTCTCTCCCGTTTATTGAAAAATGAGGTATCATTCGATACTTCAGCCTTAATTTAAGGGAAATAATTGAAAACGGTACCATCAGAATCAGACTCCGAGTCCTTATTCGGGATGCGCATGAAAAAAAGCAGTCACAATCGCTGATTGCGAAAGTAAGGAGGCCGGCGGTAGAGCGCAAAAAAACTTTCCATTGGGTTGCCGCCGATAAATCATACCCTTGCCCCATTTCACATTTGTCGCATTCTCCCAAATTCCGCATTTGGAATTTCCTTGCCATGGCATTTCCAATTCGTCGGGTGGGGTGTTGGCTAACCGTGTCGTGCCAGCTTTTCCAAAATACTCCGGTGTTCTTTTTCGATTTGCCTCTTCTACGGTGTGATAGCTGATACCTTGCCAAATGGACAAAAGCCTAGAGGCCGTCTAGTCTCCTCCTCCTTCCTCTCGATAAAGCTGATTTTTGCATTACGAAGGGGTGGTGCTAACTTGAGAAAAAGTAACTTTCTTGGTTTGGCTCTAGAGATATTCTATAAATTTCAAAAACGGTTTAATTTTTAGCTTGATATCACCCTATTTTCATTCGCTACTATAAAAGAACTTTTGCTAACCTTTGAAAACTTTTTATCCATCTACAAATACTCTCTTTGCTGTAAGAACATTATTTTTATCAAAATAAAAGTGGCTCATGCTTTGTAAAGTTAACTCATTAGTCCATTTGATTTAAAAGTCTTAAAAAGATGTCATTTAATGAAGAATGACTAGATGCATGCTTTAGAATGCCAGAAAACATGCAGACTTGACTAGGACCCATTCACCACTGTAATTACAATCCTATGTCAAGGTAAGTCACTCGAAAATTTTGTGCACTTTTGTTGCATAAAACTCAGAAATTGAAATGGCACACCCTTTAGCGAACAAATTTAATGATGGCTTAATTCATTAAAAAGCTCTTATTATGCATTGCCTAAAAAAGTGAACTGCAAACCTTCACAGTACATTTGGTTTACTAAACATTGGGTGATTCTTCTTATTAGAACTGATCAGTGTTAAATACTCACTGGTTTGAAAAGTCAGCTAACATTATAAATCTGTTTGGAGGTATTTTATCGGAGTTATCCGATCAAAATAGTCAAAATTCAAGGATTTTTCATTATTAAATCTTTGATAGACGATTGAATACGGCAAATAAATTTGTTTTGATTGAAAAACCCTTACATGCATTCCTGGAAACTTTGCATATTTTAAAAACCAATAAAACTACTAATGCGAATTGTTGTCAATGATGACATTCTTAAATCACATTGATGACACCAACCTGTTCATTTCATCGCTGCTTATAGCTCTTAAGCCCTTCTGTGCTGGAAAAGGACTGGTATACCTTATTACATCTGCAGAGAGAATCCAAGAGCTGTAGAACCAATTAAGCATTTGTTTAACTGAATTACTGTTCTAGTGCGTCACCCACAACGACAGGCTAGAGAATCACAGCGTCAAAGTAAGTAAATTTTGTAGTTCTTTGCACCGTCCTGGTGTTAAACAATATCACTATAAAGCTGTATTTCGTACCCATATTTGAAATTGTATATTCTGTTGTTAGAGACAAAACAATTACCGTTCAAGCCATCTCCAACTGTCATACTTTCTTTCCAGATGCGTTACCGTTTTTAGCCTCTTCATGTATTGTTTGGTCTTAGGGACCATGGACTCAACAACTGTTTGGCTGCATCAGAAGAGGTGAATGCTAGGATGAATCCACCTGCATTTATTACAAAATCCTTTAGGGTAATCTCATAATAGTTTTATTAAAGTCGGATCGGGTTGGGCGGGGTGTTTTTCATTGGTTACCCGCCTCCTTCCTCAATGACCAAACTCGTCGTTGCCTTTGCGTCACGTCATTGGTTCACACAGACGCGAGGGCAGCAATACTGGTTTGTGTCCCGATTGGTCCTTTTGCGCAGTTGACTAATGTGGCGACCAATCAGGGAGAGCAGGTGGCTGCGCTTGTCGCGGTAACTAGCAAGAGGGTGTGAATGGAAGCGCGCATGCACCCGCTTCTCTGAAGTATCCGTATCCCCCGTGACCCCTCTGACTTCTGCCAGCCTTACCCCTGGATCAGACGCAGAGGGGCAGGAAAATGTATCAACATGTTTATATAGAAAAGTTAATTTTCACCCCGTCTGCTTTACGGTTCAGTCCACTCATGTGTAGCTGTGACTTAAAAAGGGTTGACGTAATAACAGGAATAAGAATTGGTTGAGAGATGGCAAAAAGGGAAGATGCTTTTAGTGACTACAGTATGGTTAGCGCGATACTTTTTCTATAAGGGCTATTCCTTCTAAAATGATCCAAAGTTATGCAACTTCTTTTCAACTGAAATTATCTATCTTAATAGATACTACCAAAAAATCAACATTTACTTTAACGGATAATTGTTGACAGACTTAAAACATAATGCACTTACATGTCTTAACAGTAGAAGTAATGTAAGGAATCCCTGATGTCATGAACAGACAGCTCCTGTAGGGACAACTACTAGACCATAGTGCCTACAAACATGTAACGTAGAGCCACACGCTTGAAAATTGAGATTGGCATTTAATTTTAATAGTATCATGAAGACTTGGCATTTACCAGGAGTAATCAAATCTTCTTAAAAAGTATTCATTTACAATGAATGATTATGTCCATAAAATTTTAGATAACCGATAAATAAAAAGGCATTTCTCAAGTAGAAATATCAAACGGAAATTCGTTAATAAAAATGTGATTAAATATTTTGATTTTGACTACTCACTGTTATATAATATTGTCAAAGTTACTTAAAAAACTGCAGCATACTCTAGACTATGTAAAGTGTTCTGAATCCATTTATGGGTTCATTTCTCCTCTTGATACCACACGCTCAGGCAGAGCGAACTTATCTTTAGCAACTTTTTGATGGAATCACATAACTAAATAGGGTGTTTTGATTACTATTGGATCCAACTCCTTATCGATAGACCACTTTTCTAATTGGTTGGGCTTTTAAGTAAGCCAGTCTCCTAACCGCTTCATTAATGAGGAGCAGAATTACTTTATCGCTTTATGTCTTCTCGGTCTTTTGGGTTAAACGTCTTGAAACTTGTGACTTAAATTTTATTTATAAATCGGTCAAGATGAAAGCCTCTGAATTCGACCACTTCAATACGTACGTGTTTTACCACTGCGAATTTCGACGAAAATATTCCAAAATGTGTGCGACCGCATTTGGAGACGCAACCTGTTACACACAGAAATCCGGAGCAGCCGGGTACCATTCAAAATGAAGAAAATCGGACCCCTCTTTGTCATTTACTTACATCCGAAGCCGAAGGCATTTTCACTTGCTTCCGAATTATGCCACTTACCCCTAAATTAGGATAGCAGTAGGGAAATACCTGTTAAGATACTATTCCAACAGCCTCGGTTATTCTTTGGATTTGATCTCTAAAATTAAGTGTTAAATTTAATTCCAAAATTTGTTATATATAGTATAATTACTGATTATTCGTAAGTTGCAATTACTGCCGTTTTTTTAAAATCCTAGCTTAGTAAATTGCATCCTCATCATCAGAAAACTTAAGAAAAAGTGGGCGTTCTAAATCGGTTAAAAGATGAGACTGTTTGCTCCATTAAGGAGAGCAGGAAAGAGGGAAGAATGACGGGAACCGAGAGAATAAACTGAACCATACTGAGTGTATTTGCACACTAATCTGATTCTGTGAGAGGTTTATGCCTTTTTACGTAGAAATCCTTTTAATCTATGTAAAGTAAGCACAGCCACCACCGAAACAATCTCGATCAACTCCGGATAATTTTAAGAATGTAATTCTAAATTATCAACACAGTAGTTATGAATACAAAACTTTTCAACACCCCGAATGAAATTGAAGTATTATTTTAATTTAGCCCAATCATTATACCAATAATGAGTAGAAAATCGACTGGCAGCTGGCTATAGAAGGGGAAGGAGTTTTATACGCATATTGTTATAAGAGGTATAAATGCACATACGCTCGGTCTGGTCTGAGTTCGAATTTGAGTTTGAGTACGCGTGTTTATGAGTGCGCCAATGCTTGCGTGCGTTAGTGCGTCGGGCGTATGCGCATGTAAAGCACTTGAGAGAGAGGGGAGGAGAATTAAGCGTAAGATAAGTAGCTTTGTACAGATGTCCACTGTGATATAGTGTAGAGATGTTTTAGATTTAGTCTACGCAATATGTGCCTGTCGTTCCGTCCATTAACAGGAGGCATTGAGCGAGAGATCGATGGCTGTACCTGAAGCTGCCGCAGCTGCCACGGCCACTGCTGTTGCAGAGGTGGTAGCAGTAACGTTCTGCGAAGAGAAGAGTCGCTCGTAGGGATTTTCGCCCAGCCGCCCCTCAAAATAATTTAAATTTTCTGACTTCCGCATTCTTTTGGACGGTGAGGAGGCGAGGAAGTTGTGAGCCGCGGCGGCACCCATGAATCCGGGTGGCGAAAGATCTTCAAAAATCGGCGCCTTCCGTTCCCCAGAAGTGGTTCCGTTGGCACGACCCAAACTGGCTAGGAAGACCTCATTAAATGAAAGCGGTGGAATGCCTTCCACGAGGTTATGAACAGAATGCACTAGTGATGAACCACACAGTTGCTGTGGCGAAATTTCAGGCCCTCCAGCAAAACGCTGGCCATCTAAGTCGAGTCCTGGGCGGGTGGATTGAGAAGGATAGGCAGTAGTCACGGTGGGAGAAATGTACGCTGTGGTTTCAGTTGTAGGCGAGAAAGTGAAAGGAACTTGACTGGAAATTGGTCGGCTTGAATGCCGTTCACTACCCGTCACACTACTCCAGCGTAGTCCAGGAGTGCTGTTGAGGTTCATGAAAGCTGAAGTAGACTGGTTTGCAAATGTCGGCAGAGACGACTGTCGGGGTTTGGCGAGGAAAGAGGAGCTACAGGAAGATTGGATGGGATTTGTAGAAGTGAAATTGGAAGTTGAATTCGCCGAACACTTAAGCTGGTGTCGATTCACAGCACTGATGCAGGTGAACTGCTTCCCACAAATGCGACACTGCATCTCTGAGGTACGCAGATGCAACTGCAAGTGAATAATCTTCATGTGGTAGCGCATGCTGCTCTTGATATCATACATCTTGCCACAGAACTTGCATTTGAATACTTTGCGTCCATCCACGATGCGCTCACATTCGTCAATGAGGGCGTTTAGTCGATCTGAGTGGGTGATCTTCCAATTTTTTGATGGACATCCAGTGGATGGGGAGAGATCAGGAAGGCGTTTCGGAGAGTATTCAACCTCAGAAAGACGAGAAAATTGTTGATTCGGAAGAGGTATCACACTTCCTAGGCGTCGTTTATCCTTCCTTGAGGAAAAACCGGATTCACTGGACTGTTTTTCGGCGACTGTGTGTAGGAGGAAGCGCTGTTAATCGTGAGTGTTGGAGCTGAGGAACATTGCGGGTAGGAAGGATTTGCAACGAGTACAAGGGCTTTTGGATAATGCAGGTTCCCAGACCCATCTTCGACAGATTCATCCTTCATTTTGGTCAACCATGCAGAGGAAATTGTCGCGTCGACAGTATCCTTGCCACTGCTTTGGGAGCCCGACTCGTAGTGGTCTGAGGCTGGTTGAGTGGCTGTCAAATCGACTGCTGAAACCTCGGATCTAAAATCCTCCTGTACATTGCAAGTTTCCATATTTTCGCCCGTGGTATTTTCCTGCAGATTTACAAAAAGACAGACTTTACCCAGGTTTGTTCGAGCCAGAAAAAGCTTCTTTGCGTCGGCGTAGTGTACATGAGGCGAGATTTAAAAAATGTATTTCCTGCCAATTGACTCTTTGGTCCATATAGATTCTTAGCACTCTAAAAGTTTCATTTTTTATTTAAAGTCCAAGCGTAGGAAGATGCTGAAAAAGGTCACCAAGACAGAAAAGGAGGGAGAAGGATCGGAAAAAAGGTGTGGATATTCGAACTGAAATGTCTCCGAATGTATAAATTTTGCCTTCACATTCATCGTCAGCATCGACACCACCACTTTCACAATGCGCTACCTCGGTTTTTTTCCGCGTCAGCCCGAAACGCCTCTCTTACTATCGTGCCGATTGGATCAAAAGCCCTGATTGGTGGTGCAAACAAGGCAACCAAACATGAGTGAATGTCCGAGGGTAACTTTTTGAGACAAAGAGGATACAAATTCACTTTCTTCTTTTCCAAATGGTTAGGATGTGTGAGGTGTAAAAGTCGGCAACTAAGCGCGCAACAAGGAATAATATATGTTTCTTCCATTCCGCCACACATTCAGGCTAAATATCAACAGAAACTCATGCCCTGCATCTGTACACGCATGCGTGTTTTTGTAGGCCCCTAGCAATATGAAGACAAAGGTGTGAAAAGGTCATTGGAGCATTAAAATTTTCACGAGGAAGTGCATATTTCTTCATCAGCCGCTCTACGTATACACTAATGGGATATTTAGGAGGATAATGTACTCCCGGAAATGTATAGGCTAATAATTCTGATTTACGCTGTAACTGAATTGCAAGAAATAAACTCCCCGTATAGAGGTTTAAATAAATTATCGCTATTTTGTAAAGCACGATGAATTATTAATAGGGAATGTCAATTTCTTTACTCAATTTTCATGGCCATCATGGCCAAAGACCCTGCAAATTCGAAATCTGAGTTCTTTTGGATAATGAAGATTTAGGAATTCAAAGGAATCCTGCAGAAACCATCAGGAAGGATTTCGAAGATGATTAGTTGGATAAATCACAAGGCGATCTAGCGAGAAAGTGTAATTGGAGGCTCTAACCGAGATCAAGTCGCTTCTTATTGTAAAACAGATTTGTATTGCCAAGTGATCCCCGAAGGGGAGTGTTTACTTAAGCACAGGGACGCCTGTGTGCTGAAGAGGCAGGTGGAGAGAAAAGAAATAACCGCTATCTCTACTTGTGGGAAGTCGAATCGATGGGACGGGTTTGTGCACCTAGATAGCTCACTTACGCCCTGCTGATTTCTCAAGTTGCTAGGTGATGTCAAGATGCTCAACACAATATAATTTTCTGCCATAAGTTCAAAGCTCAAACCTTTTTACATGGATGCTCGTCTTAAACTAAATTAAACCTAACTAATTTTCCGGCCCTTAGGAATTATGCCACGAAGATTGAGTGTACCACTTTGATTAGGTCGCAGTGAACGCAAGCAGACCTTGATTCCCACACACTGGAGGCGGTGTGCAATGTCTGATGAAGAATGATGGCATTATTTGCCTTAGTTAAGATACGCACGTAGTCCTATTGTCCAGTCAAAGCTATCCACAAGTCCCACGCTAGGCTTGCTTACACGCATGAAAATTGTGAAGGCTATGCACACCGAACAATACATGAGCTGTTTTCTTGTGGAGGAACGCTTCAGAAGTACGGGTTTGGCAGCCAGTGAGATATCTTCATGGTAGGTGGTCCTTTGTGCAAGTAGAAGCCACAATTCAAGGTAGTGTATAAGAAAAATACCTCCAACTTTAAATAATTTAGGGGCTAAAACATGTGCAGACGCGTTGGAATTTGATGGGCACAATGAACCATGCGATATGATGCGAGGCTACATGAGCTATTTTTATGAGAAACTACAATACCTCTGGGATGTAGCTAGATGTATGACCAGTTTAGCATAGTGCATAGGGTTTTGATGGAATCTGGCATTTCATGTTATTATTATCAACATTATGACTCGGTACTAGAGGTCTTAACCCAATAGTCTACTGGTGTAATAATGTTTTGTACAAGTGCTAATAGTTTTAGAGAAACTAACTGCAAATAATATTTACAAATGTAATTCTGTTGGTATTTAGATGTCAAGGGGAGAAGTCAGCTTTAAGTAAGACTGGTTGAGAAGTAGATATCGTAAATTATTATCCAAACGCACTACCGTCAAAGCCATTGTACCTCTTCACACTTGCCTTAATAGGCCTATCTTGGTGATTGAACCCCAAAAAAAAAAATGAATTTAACGAGAACCACTTTTACTGAAAATACGAGGAACCTCGTCACGGTTATGCGTACACCCGAAGAAGTCCCATGGGATACCACCACCCACGGTGCCGAGGGAAGAAACCGTGATGAATTATTAAGTACATACAACCTCCTCCCTATTTGTGAACTAACCGACCTCTTTCAGCCTCACCACTTAAAAATGAGAAGAAAACCTCTTTCAGTCCAACCTACCAAGTCTCCCTCTCTACAATGCGGGTATGAATTTTGGATAAGATGGTATAAGAGAGCAAGAGAAGGCACTATTTTTTCAGATCAAAAAGCCACTTTCGTGAAGAGGGGATAGTAATTAATACCAGTATCATGGCGATAATTGTGATGGCAGAGGTGGTGTAAGTGGTGATGGTGGTGGTGACATGCGATAATAAAACATTGTCTCCATCTATGAATGTGTGAATAGAGAACTGTCCCCGTCCCTAGAGGACAATCGCCCCATGTATCGTTCCGCATGCGGGGAACACTTTTGATAAAATCGTATATAAAAAGCTAGGTGTGCCGGAGTATCTCGGATTGATGAGACACTATACCCACTTTCATTCATGGTTTTTTGACAAGGGGATAGTAAAAATGTTCACCTCCCCTTCTTCTCCCATGCACCCCGCTTGTCCTTTCATAATTAACTCAAACATAACAGTTTTTTACATCAGCCGGTTTTGCCATTAACCCAACAGAGTCGGTGAGTAAATGAGAAAAAAATATTTCTGCTCTACATTCCACCTAGTATATTAGTTGAAACATTAGAATGAGAGATCGCGGAAAAAATGACCCAGCTTTTTACTTAGCAACAAAATTGAAATTTAATTTGACTACCCAAATAAATTTATTTGAAGCTTACACATAACATTTTAAGAAATGATGTTACTGATATGAAATAGTGCCATGATTTTAGAATTTGGTGAAGCTAAAACAAAGCTATGTCTATCTTTTTGAATCAGTCATTAACAAGGGTCTTGGACGCGTAGATCCTGGAAATTACAAGCAAATATTATTTGGTGGAATTAATAACTCGATTTTATAAATGTTTAAAATGGCTCATAGTGAATATCTGCGAACTGCGCTGAAAGACAGGATAAAGTTTCTTTCTGGTTGTTCTTATGATCAATAAAGTACGAAATTTAAGGAGATGTAGTTAACATGACTCGTCGATCGAAGCTGATCTTTATCAATCTTGATAACGAGCAATAACATAAGTGGATCACTAACCGCAGGAAAGGGAGGGGATACGTAGATTCATTACTCCCTTTGACGGTATCTTTATTACCCTTTGGTTTGTATCCCTTCCTTTGTTACACTTACAGACGCAAATGTACATACACACGCACACAGGCACACCAAGAGGCCTGTGGATATGACTGTTCTTGCTATTATTACTATCGGCCTCGTCCCCGTCACCGTAATGATTGTTCACAGTTTGTGTCCTACATGATAATAAGGGGCGCGGTTGTGTACATGAAACTATAAAACAATCAAGCCGACCGACAGCAGTGTTTTTCACCTGTTACGGGGCGGCAGCTCATGCTAGGGGGAGGAGCAAGAGGGAAGAGAGGACAACCGTCCAAGTGTAACAATCGCCCCTTTTTGATCTTTCCGGTGGTGAGGACGTGTTGTGCTCCCACGCAGGGAGAACTGGGGGAAGACGGGGGAAGGGAGGGTTACGCACGCGCACACGCGCACGCACATATGCACAAGCAGAAACTGGTGATAGCTTTCGCAGAATTCGCAGTTCCATACTACCTTACAGCGTTGCATAAACCACCTTTCAACTGAAACCCCTGCTAGATTAGAGAAGAAAGTAAATTTGAATAAAAATTAGAGAATGTTCGTATTTAACCCGTCGTTTAAAACCCCTCTAAGTTGAACCTACAAGTAGTTTAAAAAATATTTAAACGTTGTTTTTTTATTATTTATTTGAATCGATTAATATAGGAAAAAATAATACTTTGAACGTTTGGAATATGATGCTAAACTCAGGGTCTTGGAGGATAAAATAAAGAAATTAGCCTTCGCGTGTTTTCAGTGGAGTGGAAAAAATCAAAATTAAACGAACGTGCTGTTCAACCACGTATTCCTTACTGCAAGATATTAAAATTTCAATTTTAGAGGAAACTATACCTCCTGAAGTTCGGAAAACAGGATATGAACTTCGAAAATGCGATTAAAGAGAAACTTAAGTTATAGCTACAAACTTCAATTTAAATTCGTTTTGCGCTTTTTGGGGCCAAAAACCTCATCTTTGCAAAAAATCCTACAGGAGGGCTTGTTTATGTGAATGGAAATTACAATTTCCATTATCTGTGCTGAACATTTCCAAAGGCGCAATTGACACACAGCCATCAGAATCCTTTAAATACATGCTAGCAATTTGTTTTTTATTCAATTAAATAAACCAAAATGTTTCTGAATTCGAAATAAACGAAGTGGGAGTAAATGGTTTGTGGTGCTACCAAAAGTAAAAAGTATATGAAGTTGGTGCCTAGTATTTTAAGCGCCGGAAGACATTTCTACTAAGTTAGTCAAAAAGTTAGCTTATTCTATGTTTCCACTTATTTATTGAATTAGGTCATTTATATGCTGGAGGAAAAATAACATTTGACCTGGGAGAATTTATAGCAAGCTGAAGGAATTCCCACCACCAAACTTTGCCACTGTACCCCTTTGCATCTTAGTAGAAACTCTATTTGTCAACTCCTCTGAGTTTTTAGTCTGACAAATGCGCGAAAGGGTAAATGTGCGCGCATAAATTTAAAGAAAAAAGGAAAGTAGGAGGAAGGAAGGAAGAAGGGGGTAATTTTTTCCGCTTCTATCACCGCCGCCAGCAGGGCAATTTGTGTAGCCGTCGGAAAATCAACAAAGTAATACAGAAAAACCCGAAGAGATGCGATTCAAAAAAGCATTGTCGCGAGGTGCCAAGGTGAAATACAGCGAGAAGTGTGACAGTCGAGAAAAAACAGGACGGTGGAAAAGAAGACCGTTTTAGGAAGCCTCGAACGCACGCACGCTCACGCATCAGCGCGCAGGCGCATGTGACAGGCGAGCAAAATTCTTTCTGCGTCCTTTTTGAATGCGATATGCAGGCTTGGAGCAAAACGCGCTAATTCCGACTAATAAATGTGCCATTTTTACACCTGGGCTTTCGGGAGAACTTCTTGAAGCCCCTTGAGTGGGTATTAAGAAATTAGATGGTGCTACATTCCAAATGCTGAAACTCAAACGGTGTACTGGTTCTCAATTAAATCATGGTTTTTCAAGGGTTATTGTTCCATTGCGTCTATTTATTCAAAATATTATCCCTTTTTCAGGATAGAGGCAAACCACGAAGTTAAACTGCAGTTCAATTGAGGTTTCTCAATTATTACAAACCATAAAATTGTGTAGCACTTAATAAGAACGATTTATTTCGGTACTTGCTGTACTTTTTTATTTATTTGATATCTTGACGGCAAGTCAGTAAACTGTGCATGATAGTGTAAATAAGTTCTATAGGAAAGTGTTTTGAATTTGGTGCAAAATTCTGGATGAATTCAATCATCAAACAAAACTGGAATATTAATAAATTTGATTTTTGTCATCAAATTACAATGAAAGAAAAAATATTTCCAAGTTTTAACCTGTATTTTGATCATCATTTCTTCTCTGATTAAAAAAACACCATAATGTAGATGACAACTTGATTTCTGTAAGATGAGATAAAATCAAAATTTTTCTTTTTTAATTAGGCTAAATGATTGTGGTTTAAGATGCAGGCGATAAAACAGAGCTTTTCTGTTTGATAGTGCATAAAATCGACTTCATGTACTCACGGCCGTTATTTAACTGTGCTGGTTTTATTTCCTTTGCAATATTTTTTTAGTCATTTTTAAATACTCATGAAATCACACTTAAGGACCCGTATAAATTGAACTAAATGATCTTGAACTCGAAAATCGGTGTCAGTGTAAGTCGTAACGTTGGCTGGGCTGCTGAATAGGCGAAAGAATGTAGCTTCATAAATACTATAGAAATATTTTGTCACATAAGCAAATTTGAGTCCTCAAGCATGGGGCAAAATGATGTGTATCCATGCAATTGTAAAGAACAAGAAATTTTTACGAAAATCGCGATAGAAAAAATGCAAAAAATTAACTATTCGTAAACCTATTCTAGCCTTTCCCCAGTGTACTGGCCCTAAAATTATTCTTACAGACTCTTCGTGACTATTTCAAAATTTCAAACCCCTTTTTCTACAATCGGAGATGATTACCACTTGAAGACAACGCAAAAACTCAGTGCTTATTAGCCGACCTTCAAAATTTGAGTCAAACCTAATCTTTCGGCAATCGGATGCAAAACTAGCTCTTTAAGAGCAAAAAACCACTTCCGTCGTTTTAAGATTTTTTTCTTTTAATTTAAGTAGTATGCTCAAGCATAGCCGACCACACCCGAGGGAAATTAACTTGCGTTTGTGCGTGTGTATGTTTGTAGGAGAGCGATTATATCATAGCGATGGAATCCCGCACACGAAAATAATATTTCTCACACAAAAGCAGGCTCAGAAAACTAGCAACGACATCACCGACAGCACCTACTACAAACTAATTCCTACGCGTCCTTTGGGCAGTCGCTTTCAGTTCTCGCTCTCTTGCTGGCCTTGTGTGTGGTCCACGGCAATTCTCAAGATGCGAGCTCTACAAGTAACACTTCGACTGCCTGACTAAAAGTGAAAAGTGCGATCACACTAAGACTTGCAGCGTCAGTGGACTACTTCTAAGGGCATTAAAGATGTCTCTAGTAGATCTACGACTCTTAGAGATGTCACTGCATAAACATTCCTTGTTTTCGACAACAGGGAGAAATGACTGGGTCTGTCAAAAATCCGTATTTTGGGTCACAACTGAGAAACGGCCACCCACCGTGCCATCGAGGGAAATTTTCGCCCAAAAGTGTGATTTCGAGTAGACGCGTTTACATGAGAGGGAGGCAAGTAACATCTGATTACTTTTTTCTGCGATCTTTGAAGACATAATTCAACTGCTCCAATAGGATTTTTGCACTGGTGGAAAGTGGGGGAGGAAAATTTGTTCAGCCGAAGGTAATATTTCTCGCCGCCTGTCTAGGGCGCTTTCTCTCGCGCTCTCTTGTTGGCCCTCCATCGGAAGAATGATTAGAAATAATTTTTCCATCTGTGGGTGGCCGCACTTCACGTACCTGGGTACGCACTTTCGGTGGCTTTTAGTACGCGGATTTGCTGACTCCGATCGTGTCGGTAGGCGTCTCATTCAAATCAGGAGTTTCATAATTAATTGTGAAAGCCTTCCCTTACTGAATTGTTGCTGGTTATGTATCAAACGCAAAAAGATAACCAAGATCATCCTTACAGTGAACACAATGAAAAAATTACAATTTTTAGTGCCGAAAACTTTTCAAATGAAGAGGAATTTTTTGTTTACTTCTTTTTTTTAGGGAAAACGAACGGCTTAATCTTCGAGCTGCGTCAATTCAAGATCAATGTTTAGGATCAAATGTTCCGATTTTGACTTCTAACCTGCAATCATTTTAAATGAGGAAAGCAAAGAATGAATAAACGTATGGGAATGAATTGGTGGCATAACTCTTAATTAGCGCGATTTCCTTCTTAAAACAGTTCCCTAGAGAGCAAGAGAATGGGACTAAGAGAATAACAGCTACGCTGCTTGGCCAATCAAGTCGACAGGTTTGCGTTCGTCCGCGGTGACAATTTTGCGCCTTAAAACAGTCGTTTGCGTTTTTGCAAAACCACGAATGCTAAATTTTGCCTCTGCGGTAGACCCGAGGGTGGATGGGCTGGCTAGTGAGTAGGTGGGTGGCCGAGTCGGTGGGAGGACAGTAAACGGATTGGGAAAATGCGAGGAAAAAACCGCGTAAACTGTCGACTCAGTGCTACTTGACTTGACAGGCGGAGAGAAAATGACGATGTTCACGCACAAACACACAATTTCTCCCACTTTCTCCCACACACGAGTCGGAGAGAGTTGTTTTCCGCCTCAGTAGAGTGAGGCAGACAGGGAGAGTAAGAGGTAGAGAGCGAGGCAGCGAGCAAGAGAGGTAGAGAGAATTCAAAAGACCGCCCAAAGAGTGAGGCGAACGTGCCGGTGCGGACGTGCCACCTGCATTTGTTTGAGGTGCGATGACGTGATGAAAAGCGTGCCGTGCGGCGATGCTTGCGTGCGAGGGAAGCGCGAGCACGCACACACAAAGCAACCGTCGTTCATGCCATAAAAAATTCGCCAATCGCGGGAAAAACAAGATGGCTGGCTTGGTTTTTTGCCTCGGTTTTGCAGACGAAAGCTTGCGGTTGAGCATATTTGAGCTGAGGCGTGGCAGCAGCAGCGGCGACAGCACTAGCAGCATCAGCAACATCATTAATTGCTCCCTGCTTAAGCTATCTATCTCACTCTCTCTCTGCTTTCCAATGTCAGGGCCAGCTGCCGCATGATTGTGATACACTAAGCTCCATTTTTTTTGGTCCCAATAGAGATAACTGCAGCCGAAACCTTGACTTTTGTTTTGACGTTTAGTAAAGTAAAAACAGGTAGAGCTCAGCTCCAACTTCTTCAGTGATTTTCAGCTAGCCGGAGGAGAAATCCTTGAAATAAGCAGCTAATTCCATATAAGAACCCAATATAGTAAGTTGACAAAGCATTCGTAAAATTAAATAGACTGAGCTGAAATACGATGATCTTCAAAAAGCAAGTGGAACAATTTAAGCTTTTAAAATCCATGTAACAGCAGGGCTCTTGAAGTTACATGAAGCATAAGGAGAACATTAGATACAAATGTTTGCATTTTTGAAACAAATCAGCTGGCTTTAAGGAGGGAGAGCATCGATTCAAAGGAAGAGGTTGTGGAGCAGCACAGAAACGAAAATAGTATAATTAGAGGAGAGCGAGTGAAACGTGGAAGTCAAATCGGTCTTCCGCAGAGGCCACAAGACCGGCATCACAATGAGGTCAAATAGGCAGAAAAAACGCTTTCATAGGGTGTGTATAGGTGTGCGAGTAATCGTGTGGGGCAATAATTAATAATCGCGGGGCAGCGAGAAAACAAACAAACAAATGGCTGGTGGCTTGATGTTCGCAAGCAGGGTGGCCCATACCGACAGACCCGTAAATTTTTGACAGCGCCAAATGTACACACATAAACACCTCCTTCGTGCACATGCGCGGAAAACATGGAAAACCGTTGACTTTGGGGCTCGCAATCCCGTGCACACGCATACACAATTTAACATCGCTTCGTCAGCTGTTTTTTTCTGAATCGGAGGCACAAAAAACACTACCAGATGATTTTTTTAGCTTCAAGTGGGGTCCAGAAGGAGGGAGGGAGAACGAGAGCGGTAGAGTTGGAAAGCCAAAATGCCACATTTTACAATGGAAACCTTGGAACGCAACAATGTTTCGCCTTGCTGCGCCCCGCATTTCGCAACACTCAAAGTTTGATGAACACTTTTAGCATGTTTACCTAATTAAAAAGAAATTTGCCCACCTTTTGGCCTAAAAGTGTTATCAAAGTTATGGTGTTTGTTCAAGGCTTTTCAGTGTCAGCTGTAACTTTCAAATCACTAATCGCGTGGCATTTGCGAATCGCTCATATGATCTCTGGTAAGCAGTTATCACAGCCGAATCCCCTATTCGCTAGATTATTATTTTCTAATTAGGGACTAGAATGATCGAGGTAAGTAATATGAGTAGAGTATTGCCGAATAGGATAAAAGATTTCTAACTTTATAGGCAGATTTTGTGCGATTTGTGATAAAATCTATAGAGACAAATGGAACAAATCTTTGCAGTATAAATGACATCTTAGGATTTTACTTATAAGTATCAAATTTCGGCTTAAAATTTAAATGTCAACAACCAAGTCTTTTCTTTTGGGGATTCAGAAAGCAAACTAGTGAATATGCAAGGTAAGCGGGTCGAAAGATAATTCGCAAAAAAGTTTCTGAAATTGTCCCTAGTTGCTTAAGCTTGGACAATTAGAGAGAGGCATAGT